GATGATGGTGAGAATGATGGTGATGATGGTGAGGATGATGGTGATGATGATGATGATGATGATGATGATGATGATGATGATGATGATATGATGATGATGATGATGAAGGGGGGGGGTGCGGTGCCGAAATAAGGTGGTCGGAGCTCTAGACACCCTGTGCAAGAGAATACCCAGAAATAATCCAAAAATAATCCAAAAATAGTCCGGGGACTATGTTGGGGATTTGTTTAACCGTTTGGGGGTATGTTGGAAGTTGGTTTTTATGTTTCGTCGAAAATCCCCCTGTAGGGGAACAGGCCCGCCATAACCCTACGTGAGCAAGGACCGACCGTCCCAGCATTCCTATAGTCCTACCACGGAATGTTCTCAAAACCCAGAAATGTTCTCAGAGCAATAAAATGTTCTTAGAACATAGACCCGATGTGGTAAAACAAGACAGACTCCGCCAGACATGTTCTAAGAACAGTTCGTGGAAACCACAAAAGGTTCTTCGAACATTGACTGGTAGGGCTATAGGCGAGCCAGGACGCCTCGCCACTGCTTGACGCCTACAGGAGGAATATACAAAAATAGTTCAACAGTAATCAAACAAATATGGGGACGATGTTTGAAGTATTCGTTGGCCATTTTGTGATATGTTTTGAATAGTTCCCTACCTAGGCTCTGCCTAGAAGGGCTCTTACTCGCTGAGCTTAAAGGGCCGGGTAGTGTAAAGCGCCCGGGGCGGTTCCCCTGGCATCCGCCCCGCGGTTCCCCCAGCTTCGCTTAGCTCATCTTAGCTTAGCTTATCTCATGTTAGTTTCGCTTATTCATCTTAGCTCAGTTTAGATTAGCTTAGCGTTGCTTATCTCATGCTAGCTTAGCTTATCTTAGCATGGCTTAGCGCTGCTCATCTCATATTAGCTTATCTTAGCTTAGCTTATCACATATTAGCCCAGCGTTACATAGCATAGCGCAGTCTAGCATAGCATAGCATAGCATAGCGCAGCATAGCATAGCATAGCACAGCATAGCGAAGCATAGCTTAGCCTACCTTAGCTTAGCTTAGCGCAGAATAGCGCAGCGCAGCATTAGTACAACATAGCAGAGCATATCATAGCCAAGCAAAGCATAGCATAGCATAGCATAGCATAGCATGCAACGCAAAAGCAAAACCAATGCGAAAGTGTAGATGTAGATGTAGATGTAGGTGCAGGTGTAGATGTGGATGTAGGTGTAGATGTAGATGTATATGTAGATGTAGGTGTAGATGTAGGTGTGGATGTAGATGTAGATGTGAGTCTCGCTGTTGATGTTGATGTATATGTAGATGCAGGTGTAGATGTTAATGTAGCTGTCGGTGTAGATGTAGATGTTGCTTTCCTAGATGCTCCAACTCCCAGGTAGGGTCGCACTGGGATAATTTTATTGTTTCGCCCAATATCCCCCTGTAGGAGGACATGCCCGACCTAAGATGGGCGGCGATGGTGGTGCATTGACGAGGACCAGAGGCAGAGGCAGAGGCGACGGGCCTGTTTTCCACCACCACCACCACCACCACAAGGTGGAGGGGGAGGGAGGTGGAGGACGAGGAGGAGGACGAAGACGAGGAGGAGGAGGACCTCCTCCCCCCTCCAACTAGTGGTAGTGGTGGTGGAAGACAAGCCCATCAAGAGGCGCTGGCCTTCTTTAGGGGAACAAAAAGTGACATTAACATAAAAACTCGGAGGTCCGCGCGGATTTCTCGGATCGGCGCTGGACCCCCCTCCCTGGCGCGCGGAGCGCGCCAGAGGCGGCGCCGGCGCCGCCGGGGGGGCCCCAGCGCCGATCCGAGAAATCCGCGCGGACCTCCGAGTTTTTATGTTTGTGCCACTTTTTGTTCCCCTATTCTTCTGGGGGGGGGGAGGCCCCGAGGCTGCGTGGTTCACGACGCGCAGCGGCCCCGCGCGGGGCCCCTCGCCCCGGCCGCGGCGGCACGAGCCCCGCGGGGCCCGCGGCCCGCGGCCCGGCCACGCCCCCGCCCGGAGAAGAGCACGAGCGCGGGCGCCCCTCGGCGCGAGCCGCGCGTCGGCGCCGGAAGCCCCGGGCAGGGCTCCGCGGGCGGGCGCGCGCGCGTGCCCACCGCCAGCTGCTGGGGGGGGCCGCATGCGAAGCCGACCCCTGCCCCCCACGCTTTCCGAGGGGGCGGGTGGGTCGCTCGCTCGGGAGCTCTCGAACGAGGTGAACCCCACCCTCCCCCCTCGGGAATCGTGGGGGGGAGGGGTCGGGTTCACACGTGGCCCCCCAGCAGCTGCCCCGTGCGCCCTCGGCACCGTGCACGACACGCCTCGGAGGGAGCTTCCTGCGCGCACCGCGCGGTCGCGCCGTGGGAGCACGCGCGCGCGCTGCGGGCTCGGGTCTCGGGGGGCGGTCGCGCGCTCCGCGCGCGACTGCCGCCGCCGTTCTTGTCCTCCTTGGCGGCCTGCTCGGGACAACCCGGGGCCATCCTCGGGCCAGCGGGGCGATACCGAGCACACACGGGGGCCGTGCTGGGCGATGCTGCGACGATACCTATTGGGGGGCCGCTCGGGCGCCCGTCGCCTGCCGGCGGGTGCAAGCCGTGGCGCTGGAGCCCCGGGGTCCCGATCCCGACGCAAATCATAATCAAATGCACAGCAGGAAGAGGGATAGAGAGAGAGAGAGACAGAGCAAAAAACATGAGATAGAGATGCAGAGGAAGAGTCAGAGTGGGAGGAGGAGGTGGGGCGATGGAGAAGGGTAAGGGGCATATGGACCAAGGGAGAGAAAGATGGGGAGGGAGAGAGGCCCCAGGACGGCCCAACGAGAGACAGAGAGAGAGAGAGAGCGAGTGAGAGAGAGAGGGAGGGGCCGAGAGGGAGGGGCCGCCGCCGCCCAGAGGCAGAGGCGCTTATTTCAAGCTTGTAGCATATACATGTGCACGTGCTACCTGCCCCCTCCCCCTCCTCCTACACGGTGTAAAAGAAAAAATGTAAGCATTACATGAGAGAGAGTACCTAAACATAGTAACGCACGTCAGCGCGCCGTCCAAAACTGTGAGGCGCTGCTGTGTGGATGTGCAAGCTATGTAGCGTGATCTGTGAGGTGCGATACATGTGGTGTAAGCTGCGAAATGTAGGCAATGTGGCGCAATCTATGTGGTGCGAAGTATGGGGTGCGAGCTACGCAGTGCAAGCCATGGTTTGCAGTATATGTGGTATGAGTTAGGTGGTGGAAGACATGTGGTGCACTACATGTGGTGCTATAGATGTGGTGCGAGCTACGTAGTGCAATCTACATGGTGCAATCCAAGTGCCGCAATCTACGCCGCGCGAGATTCGTGGTGCGAGCTATGGGGGCGCTAATGTAGAACCACATCTGTTGCGCGAGCTACTATCTGTGTGCTATGCAGCGCATGCTACGTGGTGCACTCGAGATGGTACGAGCACCGAGGCGCAGGCTACGTAAGGTACCGTCGGACTTTGATTGGGCAGGACGCGCGAGAGGACACGAGACCCCTCCCAGGGCCACATCGCCACAGGCGTGCCAGAAGGCACGCGCCGCGAGGCACGGGACACAAAGGGCACCCCTTGCGCTGGCAGGGCCGACCTCTCCGACCAGCCATAACTGGGGGAGCTGTGGTCCTTACCCCCCTGGGGGAACCCATCGCATCGAGGATCTCTCGAGAGGGGTGTCGAAATCGATGGGTCCCCCGGGGGGGTGAGGACCACAGCTCCCCCAGTTGTAGCTGGCCTGCCTCTCTCTCTCTCGCTCCCCGGGAGGGCCGCGGGCCCGCGAAGTCCCTCCGACGCGCGGCGCCCGCGCGGCGCCCGCGCTGCGCCGCGCGCGCCCGCCGCGACGGCAGGAGGAAGAGGCGGAGGAGGAGGAGGAGAAGGAGGAGGAGGAGGAGGAGGGGGAGGAGGAGGAGGAGGAGGAGGAGGAGGAGGAGGAGGGGGAGGGGAGGAGGGGGAGGAGGAGGGGGGAGGGGGAGGAGGGAGGAGGGGGAGGAGGCGAGGACGGACACCTTCCGAGAGGGCCGACCTGCTCCTCCCGGGCCGGCGGTGCGCACGGGGCGCCCGCGCGGCGCCCGTAAGGCGGGCCCGCCCAGCGAGGCCCGCGGGGCGCCCGCGGGGCGCCCGCGGGGCGGCCGCGCGGCGAAGCCTCGGCGGGCCCGTGCGATTCCCTCGGTGGCGCACGGAGGGAAGCCCTCAGTGCAAGCACCGCCTGGGCAACAAAAACGAGTGTGAGAGACAGAGGGAACAACAGCACACACAAAGCAACAACAAAAAGCAACAACAACAACAACAACAACAACAACAACAACAACAACAACAACAACAACAACAACAACAACAGCAACAGCAACAACAACAACAACAACCGCAACAGCAACAACAACAACAACGACAACAACAACGACAACGACGACAACAACAACAACAACACCAACAACAACAAACAAACAAACAAACAAACAAACAAATGAACAAACAAACAAACAACAACAAACAAACAACAACAACAACAACAACAACAACAACAACAACAACAACAACAACAACAACAACAACAAGAACAACAACAAAAAAAAAAAAAAAAAAAAAAAAAAAAAAAAAAAAAAAAAAAAAAAAAAAAACAACAACAAACAAAAACAGCAACAACCACAACAGCTGCAACCACAACAGCAGCAACAACAAACAAAAAGCAACAAAAAAAGTAACCAAAAAACAACAAACATAAAACAACAACATCAACAACAACAACAACAACAACAACAACAACAACAACAACAACCACGACAACAACCACAACAACAACCACGACAACAACCACAACAACAGCAGCAACATCAACAGCAAAAAACACAACAACGACCACAGCAACCACAACGGCCATAAAAACCACAACAACAACAACAGCAACAACACAACAAGAACAACAACAACAACAAAACAAAACGAAACATTGCAAAACAAAACAAAACAAAACAAAACACGACTGGGCGGTGGGCAGGCGGAAAGAGCCTGGCCGGTCAAGAACGGCGGGCCGAGGCGGATGATCAGGCCCTGGCGGGCAGGCAACGCGATGCGCCGACAGCATCCTCCACACAATCACAATCCTCCTTCTCCCCACCCCGCCGATCCACCCCGTCACACTCCTTTTCTCCTCTTCCTCTTCCTCCTCCACCTCCTCCTCCTCCTCCTCCTCCTCCGGCTCCTCCTCCTTCTCCTCCGGCTCCTCCTCCTCCTCCTCCTCATCATCCTCATCCTGCTAATCATCATCATGTTCCACCTCATCCTGCTGCCTCTCCACCTCCTCATTTCCTCCTCCTTCTCCGACTCCTCCTCCACCCAATCTTCCTCTTATTCCTCTCCTTCTGCCCCTACTCGTCGCGACAAGGGACGCCGATCGAAGCGGAAACGCATATGGTCGCTGAGGAAAACAAGTATGTACGCTGGTGCTGGCAGGAACCAACACCGAGCCCACCCATAACCTCATGGGCCCATGTGATAGTGAGACGATCGCATCTGTGTCGGCTTCGTCACTGGCGTGTACGACCTTGTCGAATGCATGGGCACATGCCGACAATAATTCCTAATACTGTTGACATGTTAGCCAGTTCCCCGTGGTACGAAACAGCGGCGGCGGCTCGAGTTGCGTTGAACTTCGAGGCAGTCCGCGCGACAATCGCAACATCAGCATGGCAAATGAAGGAAAGACGACGTACCAAAAATATACGCCAGCTTATCATCCTACGTCACCCACCCTCGCCTCCCTCTATGATTATCTCTTATCCTCCTCCGCATCTCGTAATCCACCTCAGTGGCCTCAACATCATACCTTCTCTAGCCAACTTGCGCGCGAAATCGAGCGCTGTACGCGCACACTTCAGAGTGGTGCTCGCGTCTACCAGCCACGGCTGTCACACATGATTCATCACCGTGTCCTGAGGCATGGGTTGGAGTATCCCCAGGTCTTTGGCCTAGTCCCTTCAGCCTCAGTCCTCAACCCTGCATGTTTCAAGTGGCCCGGACCACCACTTCTTCAACATCCCAGGGTATGCCGCGCGCATCCCTGGTCGCGCCGCGTCCTGTCGCCCAGAAGTGGCCAAGAGCGCCCCAAGAGGCCCCAAAGACGGTCCAAGAGGGCACCGAATCGACGCGCGATCGGTCCAAGACGCCGATGATGGCCCTAAGACGGCCCAAGCAGCCTTCGAGGCACCCAAAGAGAGCCCCAAGAGCCTTTCCAAGAGGGCTCCGAGAGCTCAGAATCATTGATTGCCCTGGGGATGTTCAGTGTTTGGGGGGTTCTCGACTTTCCGAGCTTCCGACGCTGCAAGACGGCCCAAGAGGCCAAGAAGATAGCCCCGAGACAGCCCAAGAGGCCCCCGACGGGCCACAAGACGCCCCACGAGGGCCCCACAACTGCCCCAAGACGGCCCCAAAGGCGCCCAAAACGGCCCAGGAGAGCCACACTTCAGCCCCAAAAATTTCCCAGGAGAGGGAACACGAACCGAAAATCCGAGTCTTCCGCCTCCAGAAGCCCAGGAGGCCCAGAGGCGGCCCCGAGAGCCCCCCAAGAGGTCCCAAGAGGCCCCCAGGAGGCCCCCAAGACGCTCCAAAATGGCCCCAAAAGGGCCCCCAAGGGGCCTCCAAACGGCCCCCGGGAGGCCCCCGAGAGGCCTCCCACGACATCCCAGCGAACATCCTAGAGGCCCATGACCCACAACACAGGCATGGTGGCGGGATGGGCTGAAGGCCAATAGATACGTACTGATACAGATACATCGGCGCAACGAGTGGGTTCCCCGGCGGAGGCCCGCATGGTCGTAAAGTTGACAAGCCCGTCGACAGACGGGAAACAGTCGTAGTGTTACCAGCGGTGGCCGAGCCCCCACTCAGTGAGTCACTGCCGGCGCGTGCAAAGGCCAAGCCGTCACGCGATCCTGTCTCTTCTTGGCCGGCGGGAGCCTGGCTCCCAATCGGTTCCTCGTCTCCGTGGTCGGAAGGGGCCGAGATCTCACTCGGCCTCGAAGCCGAACCCCGATCATCTTCAGATGGTTGCCCGATCTTGAAGTTGTAAGCTTTCCCCTCGGCGCACCAGGGTTGTGGACCTCGGGCGCGGGGAGTGCGAACTGAAGGCCCTTTTGTTTGCGAAACTGGGCCAGGGATTCCTCGACTGACCGCTACGTTCTGACTTCCATATCCTTGCTCGTTGGCCCCTGTTACTTGTACCTTCGGCTCATAAGCCGTGCTCTCCCAAAGGAGTGAAACATCCTAGTACGGTGGAGACTGTCTTACCTGATCTCGTAGCTCAGCTTCTAGCCCACCATCCCCACCTGGACCGCCACCGATCCCAACCAGGTCGAGGGGGGAGACATGTTCCGTTGAACAGACATCTAGAGCAAGAGAAAGATGCGCAGCGGGCGCGGAATTTCAGCGAACGCTCGCACGAGGTAAGATCGATCCAACATGTAACAGCAACTCCGCTGAGCGGCAAGCAGGCGGCGGGAGCTAAAATAATGGTAATAACGACTGCCTGGCTTCCAAGCTCACAGAAGAAAAACAAAAAAAAAATGCGTTGTAATCGTGCCCTCGGCACGGGGAGGCGTGCTGGAACGCATGCTAGCTATGCTGTCGCTGGGTTTGAACAATCCCACCAACCATCTAGGCGCAAGTGGTCAATTTTTCTCCAGTGACGGCTCAGAACTGGACAAGCCATACGACTTGTGGACACCCGCCAGGCAAACCCGGAACGCCACACAAGCCGACTTGCAATATGCAAACTCCTCTTCCTTTTCGGCGAGGGGCTTACCCGCACTCCTCACCCTCGTCCTTCCCCGGGGTCTGGACCCCCTGGTCGCCAAAGGTCAGAGCATCTGAGATGGCCCTAGATGGCTCCAAGATGGCCAGGGATAGCCCAATATTGCCTCAAATACGGAGCACGATAGCCCAACTTGGGTGAAGATGGCCTCCAGCTTGCCTCCAGGATGCCACATGACGATTCCAGAACCGCTCCAAGTGACCACGGACCCTTCGAAAGCGTAGGTTGCTCAATGAAGCTAACCCTCTCGCACTTGCGATTCCGATGTGCTGCCGAGGCCTCGAGATGGGCTCAAGATAGCCAGGAAAACCCACAAAGCGCGCCGAGAGACCCCAGAGGTGATTTGTCGGGTTCGGGCAAAAAGAGGACGCGAATATTGCCATGATGCCATTGCACCCGGACGCGCTCGGAGAACTCATGTCTTTTCCAGCGGCACTCGGCGATCTCACTCGGCCGTCCGTCTCTGGCCGCGCGGGACGATAAGAAAACCTCGAGCTACTGGAACGCATCATTCCCATTACTTTTCGGCCCTCTAGAAATCAAGCCCCCGCGAGGTCCCCAATGATCACGGCGATGTGCTCGTGCCCTATCTCGATCGCCTGGGCAGCACGGGCGACGACGCCGAGCCTGGGCGCGAGCCCGACCCTACCCCAGCCGGCCACAAGCCCGCCTCGGGCTGGAAGGAGCCTCGAGACGGGAGCTCAATGCCTCAGCGGTCGCCCCCTCTCGCACGCCCCTGCCGCGCCCGGCGCGCCCCGCTCCGCGGGAGGCAGCGCCCGCTGCCTCGAGCGAGCCGCCCGACACCGGAGTGGCGGACCGGCCCCGACGGCCTCGGCGTGGCCAACGGCCAGTCCGACCGCCGACGCCAGAGCGACGGCACGCCTCTCGACCTGGAGGTCCGGCATGGGGGGCCGCTGGGCACGCTCGCCGCTCTCTGCCCACGGAGACCCGCGGGCCTCGAGAGCGTGAGAGGGATGAGCGAGCAAGACAGCCAGTCAGCATATACCCACCCCCTGTGGAATGGCGCCTGCACCAGGCACTTGGCCGCAGGACACTCCACAGAGACGCGTGCGCCTTGAGGGCCACGCACATAGAGGTGAGAGAAGAGGACAACTGCAGGTGCCCCCACCGACCTGGCCTGAGACATCTTCCACAGAGAGGGGGTCGCGCGCTGCTGGCTTTTTCCGTGCCGGCTGAAGCCGACCTACCAGGATGTGCGCGTGCCTGGGACGCGCCCTTGCAGGGTCCTGAGAGGAGGCAACATGGAACTCCAGCGCCGAAGAGACGGGCGAGGCCAAAGATGCCCTTGTGAAGCATCATTCCTGGTGATTTTCGCCAGCGGCAGAGCAAACCTCCCCTTTCCCTCTCCTTATTCGCCGGCTCATAATCATGGTCCCGCTCTCCTCTTCGCCCTGCTTCTCCATCCTTCTGTCGACTCGCCAGCCTGAGCTGGACCTCCTCCTCCTCCTCATCCTCCTCTTCCTCCTCGCCAGCCTGAGCTGGATCGAATCGCGAAATCGGATCCAAAACGGAAACAGATCGGAGGGCGCCTGAGATCGGCGCCGAATCGGATGCGGATCGCGGATCGGCCCTGGCTCCCGCGAGCAGAAGAGGGAGAGTCGGCTCGTGTCGGATCGGCTCGGATCGCAATCGGATCCCACGTGTGGGGATCGGATCGTGGGGGCGATATTTCTGTACAGCACCCCCCCCCAAAAGAGCTGGTCCAACATGAGGTACGCGCGCGAGGGCGGTGGTTGTAAGTCGGCGCTCCCAGATCGGATCGGATCGGACGCAGCCCTGCCTCCCCCTGCGATTCCTCATACCTCCTCCCCTTCCCCCACCCCCCCTGGCCAGATCAGTCGCGAGCCGCCTGAGCTCTGCCTCTGCAGCACCTTCCGCTTCACGACCAGCTCCAGCAGCTCGTCAAACTTCGGACTCGCGCCACGGGCCGAGTCGAGTCCGCTCGGACAGGACACGCAGGAGGGCACGGAAGCCTCCCGAGGGCCGCGCTGTCCCGAGAACGCAGGGGACGCGGGACGCGACAAGCTGGACACGAGGGGGCCCTCTCGAAATGCAAGGATCGGCCTGCTGATCAGATCCGACGTTGCCCCTTCTTGAGACGAAGGCAGCACGGGCAGAAATTCGGATGGGGAGAAGTTGGGAATACCCGAGAGCCGGCAGGTCTGGCTGATGTGTCTCGGGCGCCGCGGCCGGTCCAGAGCGCTCAGGGAAGAAGCTCTGCAAGCACCTTGGAGTGCTCCAAATCGATGAATCCCTATGCTACAGTGGGGGCTCGGCCACAAGAAACCTCCGCAAGAAACCCAACCCTGAAATCCGCGACTTGTTCAGTGAAAACGCAATTTTGTCGATCGAAAACCGTCTGGATCTTATTGGGGGCACATCGGTATCCAAGAAACCCAGGGCATCCTGGCAAAATCCAACTGGTTTCTTGGCACACACGCCCCCACTGTAGGCCTGCCTGGCTCAGAGAAGAGGGAAGGGTCACTCAGGTCCCTCCTGGCTCGCTGCACTGGACATGGTAGCTGATCTAGCGCCCCTATCCCTAGGCGTTCGTGGGCGCTCCAGGGCGCTTCCACGGCGGCTCGCGCGACCTGTTCAAAGGCATCGGGAGAGTGGTTGTGGTGTCACACTACCAGCATGGCCTAACATGGTGCCAGGGCCCGTCCTGGGGCTCTTTGGGGCGCCCATTGGGACATCCTGGAGGCCCTGGGAGCCGCGCCAGTGGGCCCAAATCCTTGAGAAACTGCTGCGCGGCTCGACTTGTCGGTCTTAGGATCTGCCCCGAAAGGGCCCGCCGAGAAGGGGCAAGACGAACTGGCATGCGAAGCCGTGGACCCCAAGACGGCCCTCTTGATCCTCCAGGGGGCCCCCAGGAGGCCCCAAAGAGAAGAGGCCCCCAGGAGAACTCCCGAGGGGCTCCCCCCCCGAAGAGGCCCCCTGGGAGGCCAGAGACAGGCCTCCAAAGAGAACCCAAAAGGCATCAAAGTGCACGGCCCAGACACGGAGGCGGGTCCGAAGGCAACCAGATAGAGGAAAGGGGAAATGAAAAGAAAAATGGGGTGACACGAGCAAGAACGGACACACACACACACACACAAATGAATTAGAATAAGAAACAACAGAAAGACACGGGCAATGGCAACACGAGGCAGTCAATCATGAGGAAGGTGGCGACGGCGACGACGACGACGACGACGACGGCCATGACGACGACGACGACGACGACGACGGCCATGACGACGACGACGACGACGACGACGAAGGCGGCAGCGGCGGCGACGACAGAGGGAAGAGCTGAGAGGTGGAGAGGATTATGATGTTGATGATGTTGATGATGATGACGACAATGATGATGATAATAATGATGACGGTCACGGTGATAGTAATGATGATCGTGATGACGCGAAGGATGACGATGGTAGTGCTGGTGACGATGATGACGATGATGACGATGATGACGATGATGACGATGATGACGATGATGACGATGATGACGATGATGACGATGACAGTGATGATGATGGCGATGACGATGGCGATGACGATGGCGATGGTGATAATAATGATGCGTGTGATGATGTGGCTTTCTGTTTTGGCCATGGCTTAGAGTCGAGCGCCAACTCTCAGGGCAGCAGTGGGACCGAACGAAAGGGGCCGAAGAGACGAACAAGCGGAGGCCCCCGAGGAGAGACGCGGCCGGCGGAGGGACAGCGACCAAGCGACAAGACCGAGGCCCGAAGCCCGACGAGACCACCACGCCAAGGCCAAAACCACGCAGGCACACCCATCCAGTTTTAGGTCGGGCATGTCCCCCATACAGGCGAAATTTAGACGAAAAACATGGAATAGTCAACAACTACTCGAAAAATATTCACAAACAGCGGAAAAGCGTCCTCTGACGATTTTTCTGCTATTTTTGAACATTCCTCCTGTATAGGGACACGCCCGACTGAACTCTGGGACAGCACAGTGGGACAGCGGCGGGGACAGTGGGACAGTAGTGGGTACAGTGGGGACAGTGGTGACAGTGGTGGGGACCGTGGGGAAAGTGGGGAGAGTGGGACCGTGGTGGGACAATGGTGGGGAGAGTGGGGACATTGACACACTGGTGGGGGCACTGGTGGGGACAGCGGGGACAATGGTGGGAACAGTGGGGACAGTGGGACAGTGGTGGGGACGGTGGTGGTGGGGAGAGTGGTGTGGGGACAATGGGAATGTGGTGGAAACAGTGGGACAGAGGAGGGTACAGTGGTGGTGGGGACAGTGGTGAAGGCGGTGGCGAGGACGGCGGTGGGACAATGGGACAGAGGTACAGTGGGGACAGTGGTGGGGACAGTGGGGACAGTGGTGGGAACAGTGGGACAGCTCAGTGGGACAGCGGAGGAGTCAGTGGGACAGTGGGGACAGTGGGGATAGTCGGGCAGTGGTTGGGGCCGTGGAGAAAGTGGGGAGAGTGGAACCGTGGTGGGAACAGTGGTGGGGACAGTGGGGACAGTGCGACAGTGGTGGGGGCACTGGTGGGGACAGTAGGGACGGTGGTGGAACCAGTGGGGACAGTGGTGGTGAGGACAGTGGTGCTGAGAACAGCAGTGGGGAATATGCTGCGGACGGTGAGTCGTTTGCTGGCGGTGAGGGGGGGGGGAGGGGTTCGAGCCGGTAGTGACACCCCCCCGGTTTTCGAGGGGGAGGAGGGGAGGGGGTTCGAACCGGTAGTGACCCCCCCCCGGTTTTCGAGGGGGGTTCGAACCGGTAGTGACCCCCCCCAGTTTTCCGGAAGGGGGTGGGGGGGTTCGAACCGGTAATGACATCCTTCTGGTTGTTTTCTGGGGGGGGGGGTCGAACCGGTAGTGACTTCCCCCAAATCCCACCAGCCCTTTGGGCGTGAGTGGTTTAGGGAGCTCTCTCTGTTCTCAACCCCCCATCTTCCCCTTCGGGAGGGTTTTACCCCTCCCCCTAAACACCCCCCTCCCCCCCCCCCCATGGACCTTGAGAGGGCGGAGCCCGAGTGTGTCAAGGGGGTTCTTTTTCGACTCCTGGAGGCCATAAAATACGACTACCCACTCGAGGATTCTGGCCCCGCCGGGACGCATTGGCCCCTCTGCTCTTCTGGAAAGCCAAAATCATTGATTTTGACTACGGTTCTGGCCTCATGTTGTAGCAGCCTGAGGGGCCGCGCTCCGTCCGTCATAGCAAAATTATTGATTTTTTCGTAAATTTTTGGCGTCCTTTTGTCCTTCTCGGGCAGCTCTCAGTTTGCCTTCTGAAGGGTCGCAAGAGGCCCCAAGATGGCCCCAAGACGTCGCCCCCGGAGGGCCCCAAAGCATCCCAAGAGGCCTCCAAGAGGCCCCCAAGAGGCCCCCAAGAGGCCCCCAGAGGCTCCCAACAGGCCCCCAAGAGGCCCCCAAGAGGCCCAAGAGCCCCCAAGAGGCCCCCAAGAGGCCCCCAAGAGGCCCCCAAGAGGCCCCCAAGAGGCCCCAAGAGGCCCCCAAGAGGCCCCCAAGAGGCCCCACGAGGAGCCCGAACGACTCACACCAGGACGAGGGGCCCGAACGACTCACACCACGAAGAGCCCGAACGACTCACACCACAAGGAGGGCCCGAACGACTCACACCAGGACGAGGCGCCCGAACGACTCACACCACGAGGAGACCGAACGACTCACACCACGACGCGGGCCCCGAACGACTCACACCACGAGGAGCCCGAACGAGTCACACCAGGAGGAGGGGCCCGAACGACTCACACCAGGATAAGGGGCCCGAACAACTCACACCACGAGAAGCCCGAACGACTCACACCAGGACGAAGAGCCCGAACGACTCACACCACGAAGAGCCCGAACGACTCACACCAGGAAGAAGGGCCCGAACGACTCACACCAGGACGGGAAACCCCAAACGACTCAATTCACGAGGAGCGCTTTCTCTCCCTCCCTTCCCGCCTCCTCCTTGCTCATCTCCCTCCCTCCCCCACAAGAGGAGTACAAGAAGGCGGACGCGGGAAATAACAAAAAAAAAAATAGAAAAAAAAGAAGAGGGACAAGGGGAGATATCGGCCCGCGACACACCCTGAAAAACACGACGGTCGGCATGCTTCGCAAGAGTTTGCTGCTGTAGATGGCTGGGGGAACCGAAAGCGTAAAACAGTTCCGAGGAGGGGGAGTTCGAACCGGTGGTGACCCCCCCCTTGGTTTTCGAAAGGGGGGGGGTTCGAACCGATATTGACCCCCCACCGGTTTTCGAGAGGGGGGGGTAGGTGAGGGGGGGGGCTTTGCCGGGGGAAAGGGGGGGGGTCCAAGCAGGGAGGGGGGGGGGGGGGATTTTCGGAGTGGGACCCCGTTTCCCGGAGGAAGAGGGGGTGGAATGCCACACCAGCCCTCTGGCGTAGGTGGTCTAGGAGCAGATCCTCTTCACCCCTCCCTCTTCACCCCTTGGGAAAAAGGGGTTTACCCCCCCCTACCCCCTCCCCTGGACTTGGACGGGGGGCCGCTGGTAGTTAAGCGTCCCAGATGGCCCAAACGGCTTCAAGAGCGCCTCAGGAACCCAAGATGAGTTCCAAGATGCGCAAGAATAGCGCAAGATCGCTTCGAGAATGGGCTCCTAAGATGTTCCAAGATGTTCCAAGAGCCCCAGGACAAAGACGCCCCGAAGAATAGGACCAAAGTGCCAACACGCCCCTATGAGGCCCCGAAGAGGCCAAAATCGTCCCAAACCTAAGGAAAATCAATGATTTTTGCTTTCTCGCCTTTTCGCTTCCGATGGCCATCCGAGGCCTGGAGATGGCTCCAAGATGGCCCAAGAGGGCCCCACGAGAGCCCCAAAAGAGCCCCAAGACGGCCCCAAGAGCGCCCAAGAGCACTCCAAGAGCGTTCCAAGAGGGGTCCAAGAGGCGATTTTAGGGGCTTCCGAGGGGGGGCGCTAATTAAAGCCCCCCTCTTGTTTGATCGATCTCCTCCAAGATGGCCCCAAGAAGCGCCCAGGAAGCCCCAAGAGGTCCCAAGATGGCCCCAAAATGGCCCCAAGAGGCCCCCAAGAGGCCCCCCGGAGGCCCCCAAGAGACCCCAAGAGGCCCCAAGAGCCCCCCCAGATGCACCCAAGATGCTCCAAGAGGCCTCGGCGAGAATGCCTAATCATTCATTCTACACAGGTTTTAGCCACATGGAGGCCTCTTGGGGGGGGGCACGGATTAAGATGACTCCAAGAGCGTCTGGGAGAGCCCAAAATGACCTCCAAGATGGCTCAAGATATCCCAAGATGTCTCATAATGGCTTCCTCTGTGTGCTGCCCACTTCTCTGATCGAGGCAATTCCTCTGGCCATCGTTTCTGGATGGGCTGGTGGGGATTCGCGAAGCGACAACAATTTTCCACAGTAAAGCGGCGGTGGATCACGCTCTCTCGATGATAACAGTAATGGTGATGATGGTGATGCTGCTGCTGCTGATGGTGATGATTGTGATATGGATGATGGTGGTGATGCGGATGGTGATGATGATGGTAATGAGTATGATAATGAGACTGCGAATGATAATGATAGTGATAATGAGGATGTTGATGATGATGGTGATGATAGTGGTGGTGGTGGTGGTAGTGATGATGATGATGATGATAATGATGATGATAATGATGATGATGGTGATGGTGATGGTGATGGTGATGGTGATAGTGATGGTGATGGTGATGGTGATGATGATGGTGATGGTGATGGTGATGGTGATGGTGGTGGTGATGATGATGATGATGATGATCGTGATGGTGATGGTGATGGTGATGGTGCTGGTGATGGTGATGATGATGGTGATGGTAATGGTGATGGTGATGCTGATGGTGATAGTGATGCTGATGGTGATGGTGGTGGTCGTGGCCGTACGATGGCGATGCATAAGTTCGGAGCAACACTGCACCGTATACCCAAACTACACCTGGAACGAGGGGGGACGATGAGCACGCTACACGAAAGGATTTCAATACCCAAGGCTGCCGCCACTGCTGTGAGCCAGGCTGAGGGGGCTGTGGGGGGGGAGGCAAAAAGCAGGAGCAGGGAACAACCATGACCCTGAAGCTCTTCTGGGGAGGAGGAGGAGGAGGAGGAGGAGGAGGAGGAGGAGGAGGAGGGTAAAAAAAAAGGGGGGAGAGGAGGATGAGGAGAGAGGAAAAGCGACGACGCAGCGGCGCGGGCGGCGCCTGTCGTCCCAGTGGGTCAGGCGGAGCTCGTACTTCGCGTCGCGCCGCAGGGGGGGGCAGAACTCCTCCGACGGCCGCGCCCCTCCTGGGGCCTCCTCGCACTCGCCCTCGTCGTCGACGCCCTCTTCCCCCGTGATCCCCCTGGCCGCACCCTCCACCTCCGCCTCCTCCTCCTCCTTCTCCTCCTCCTCCTCCTCCTCCTTCTCTCCTCCTCCTCCTCCTCCTCCTCCTTCCTCCCTCCTCCTCCTCCTCCTCCTCCTCCCCCTCCACCTCCGCCTCCTCCTCCCTCCTCCTCCTCCGCCTCCTCTTTTTTCCTGCTCCTACCCCGTGCCCCCGCCTCCGCGCATGGCCTCCCCTCTCTCCCCCACTCCGCTCCGCCTCCACGGCCCCCGCACCTCTCCCCCCCCTCCTCCCTCCCCACTGCGCCCTCCTCCCTCCTCGCCCTCCCTTCACCAACGAGCTGGCGCGGTCGACCCCGAAGACGAGGCAGCTGGTGGAACGGCCGCGGCCGAGAGCTGCAGGCTCGGATGCACGAGCGGAGGCAGAGAATGAGAATCGAAAGCGGCCTCCCTGCTTTGAGGGGCAAGCCGCCGCCCCCCTGGGGGGGGTGGGCAACAGGCTGCAACAGGCGCACACGTGCGTTGGCGTTCCATGTGACAGCTCCAGTGCCCGTCTAGTTCCAGGGTTCTAGTCCAATGTCCGATGTTCTGGTCCAATATCCGATGTTCCATGCAACAGCTCCAGTTCCCGTTCGCTGTTCTAGTTCCTATGTTCTAGTCCAGTGTCCAATGTGATAGTCAATGCCCACTGTTCTAGTTCCACTGCTGCAGATGACAGTGTTTTGAAGTTACAGGTGCCCGATGTTCTGATTCCAACTGTTGCAATGGTCGAAGGACGCCGCGCGAGGACCGCAGCCCGAAATCCAGTCGGGCGCGCTCCCTCCCAGAATCACGCCCTCAGCCTTGATGGAAGCCCTGCGGCATGTAACATACGACAAGCTCGCGCTCCCCACACCACAATCCCTGGTAAATGAATGCGCGCTCTCGCGCTCCAGAAACAGCAGCCCCGCGCACGCGACCACAAAGATGCGTCCCGAGGGCCACAAGCCCTGCACGCTCCGCCGCACTCGCGCTGCCGAAGCCGGGACCCCTCATACATGAATCCACTTGCGCGATCCCGAAGCCTCGATCCCTTGCACCTTGCACATAACTACCAGGTTGCGCCCTCGGAATCACAAGCCCAACTAAATTACGACACGCTCGCGCTCCCGACCCAACAACCCTTTGTAAAGACTAATGGGTTCTCTCTCCCGAGGCAACCATCCCATGTAAATCACAAAGTGTTCGCACTCCCGAAGCTGCAGCCCCTCGCAAGTTACAACGCGCCGGCGCTCCCGAGGCCACAGCCCCTCGCAATATACAAACCAATGCACGCTCCCCAAGCCACAGCACCTCAGAGGTGCTTTGCTCTCGCGCTCCCGAGACCGCAATCCCAAATACATCACGGCGCGCTCGCGCTCCCGAAGCCACAGCCACTCGGAAGATGTGACGCACTAGCGCTCCCGGAAGCGCATCCCCCTGTGAACTGCAGCGCACCCGCATCCTCATCTCATATCTCCGTTTCACCACCACCGACAACAACAACAACAACAACCACAACCACAACCACAACCACAACGACAACGACAACACCTACGCAAACGCCAACGCCAACAGCAGCAGCAGCAACAACAACAAGAAGAACAACAACAACAACACCAACAACAACAACAACAACAACAACAACAACAACAACAACACCAACACCAACACCAACAACAATAACAACAACAACAACAACAACAACAACAACCACAACAACAACAACAACAAGAGCAACAATAACAACAACAACAACAATCATTTGCACCCTCATGCGCCATGCTTCCACATGACACATGCATCCATCTGGATAACACACCCCATCATGGGGGATTTTTCTGGCATGCGGGATCCGATATTCCCTCACCCAGATATCCCGCCCAAGAAGGTTTGGCCACCACCTCTTCCGAGGAACTTCAACATCCATAGCTCGGACGGCACATCGCCTTTGCAATCGCCTTGCGCATGCCCCGCATCTCAGGGGGGGAGAGGAAGAGGAAGAGGAGGGGGAGATGAGAGAGATAGGGAGGGGGAGGAGGAGAAGGGAGGGGGAGGAGGGGGAGGAAGGATGAGTAGTTGTAGTAGCAGCAGTTGATGATATTGTTGTTGCGGCTGTAGCACTAGTAGTAGTGGTAACGGTAGTAGCAGTCCAAGTAAGTAGAACTGGCTTGTGGCAGCCAAGCGTTCATAGCGACGTTGCTTTTTGATCCTCCTTTAATGTCTTCTCTCTCTATCCTTGAAACGCAGAAGTCTCAAAAAGTTGGATGGTTCAGCACATCCAGGAAACCTATCGCTGGACCGGCCCAGATATGGTTCCAGAAGCGGCTCGGGAAACTGCGCAGGCGCCAGAAGCAGAAAAGCACCACGTACGGGCGCCGGCTCGGGCGTCTGGCCCAAAGCCGCTCCAGAATCGGCCCAGCACGGCTTCCCCGGCGCCGCAAGCAGAAATTCAGCATTTTCGAAAGAAAAATGTGTATTGGAATGGCCTCTTTTCGGCGCGATCGGAACTGCCCAGGCGTCCGGCCCGGGAACCGGGCCGGGTGCCGGCCGGGCCGGGTGCCGGCCCGAGCTCCGGAATCGGCCCGGACGGCCTCCCGGGCGCCGGAAGCAGAAATTCAGCATTTTCGAAAGAAAAATGTGTATTGGAATGGCTTTTTTTCGGCGCCGCCTCGGAACTCGATTTTCCGGCGCCCGGGCGCCGGCTCGGGCGCCGACCCGGGCGTCCGGCCCGGGAGCCGGGCCGGGTGCCGGCCCAGGCTCCGGACTCGGCCCGGACGGCCTCCCGGGCGCCGGAAGCAGAAATTCAGCATTTTCGAAAGAAAAATGTGTATTGGAATGGCCTTTTTTCGGCGCCGCCTCGGATCTCGATTTTCCGGCGCCCGGGCGCCGGCTCGGGCGCCGACCCGGGCGTCCGGCCCGGGAGCTGGGCCGGGTGCCGGCCCGAGCTCCGGAATCGGCCCGGACGGCCTCCTTCCCGGGCGCAGGAAGCAGAAATTCAGCATTTTCGAAAGAAAAATGTGTATTGGAATGGCCTTTTTTCGGCGCCGCCTGGGACTCGATTTTCCGGCGCCCGGGCGCCGGCTCGGGCGCCGACCTGGGCGTCCGGCCCGGGAGCCGGGCCGGGTGCCGGCCCAGGCTCCGGAATCGATCGGCCCGCCGGAAACAGAAATTCAGCATTTTCGAAAGAAAAATGTATATTGGAATGGCCTTTTTTCGGCACCACCTCGAAACACCATTTTCTGGCGCCCGGGCGCCGGCTCGGGCGCCGACCCGGGCGTCCGGCCCGGGAGCTGGGCCGGGTGCCGGCCCGAGCTCCGGAATCGGCCCGGACGGCCTCCCTCCCGGGCGCAGGAAGCAGAAATTCAGCATTTTCGAAAGAAAAATGTGTATTGGAATGGCCTTTTTTCGGCGCCGCCTCGAAACTCGATTTTCCGGCGCCCGGGCGCCGGCTCGGGCGCCGACCCGGGCGTCCGGCCCGGGAGCCGCTCTCGGCGGCGAGCAAGAGCACCGAGCCCGAGTAAAAAAGGAGGAAGTCTCGAGCCGGAGCGTTGTTGTTGTTGGGGGGCCGGTTTTGGCGGAACCCCAAAACGCCTGAGCGTGAGCCTCAATTTCAGAGGAAATGCGGCCGGCGCCTCGGCGAGAGCGCCAGGGCGAATATAGGGGGTCCAACAATAATAATTGCTTAGTAATTAAGGTTCAACAACAACAACAACAACAACAACAACAACAACAACAACAACAACAACAACAACAACAATCATTTTACCCGAACGCGTGGTGTTCTCCCCAGTGCCAGGTTTTTCATACGACACCAGGCAATACCCCCACTTCGTGGGGGGGCATTACAAGCTCTACCAAATATCCAAACGACTCTTCGCGACCACCCAAACCCAGCTTCCCGCCCTATGACGTTGGGACACTTCACTTCGTGGCGTGCGGACGACCGTGGCTACTACACTGGCGTGGGGTACACACCCAACAAGTCTCGCAGGACAGCGCGCGCGGGTAGAAATTTTGAAAAGTCGCGCAGGTGTTTTTCGAGGACCTACGGTGCGATTCGTGTGATTTTATGATGCGCGGTGCTAAAATTCTTAAGAAGCCCAATGGTTTTTGGAGATTTCGGCGTGCGCGCGCGAAGAAAAAACGAATGTGTCCCGCATGGTATTATTTCACAGGGATGATGGCCCTGGCAGGTGCGCAACCGTTGTCGCAGAAGTTCGAAAAAGTTGCTCGCAAAAGCCCGTTTGACAGAAATGTTTAAAAAGTGTTGGGCTTCCTACGAATCCGCAAGAGCGCGCGGGATGAAAGTTTGACAATTTTTTGTTGAAAAACCATTGGTTTTTTGATGTTTTTATGTTAAAATCGCTGCGAACACTAAGGTTTTGGAAGGATTTCGTCTTGCGCGCGCGAATGTCCACTTTACCTTATTTGTTGCAAGGGATTCTTGAAATTTGATTATATATTAGAACAAGAAATGTCATTTTCTATTGTTTTTTGGGCAAGGGAAACGGGGGGGAACAAACAACCGGATCTTGAATCACATCGAATTACCTAGGCTTACCTCACAAAATGAATGAAGCGACAGCTGCGCGGCCTAGGCGGCGCAGGGGGCCGTGCACCAGGGGGCAAACATAATTATGCTTTAGAATTAAAAATGTCAACAACAACAACAACAATCACTTTACCCGAACGCTCAGTGTTCTCACCAGTGCCAGGGTTTTCATGCGACGCAGCCAATACCCCCACTTTGTGGGGGGGCAGTGCAAGCTCTACCAAATATCCACACGACTCTTCGCCACCACCCACACCCAGCTTCCCGCCCTATGACGTTCGGACACTTCACTTCGTGGCCTGCGGACGACCGTGGCTACTACACTGCGTGGAGTACACACCCACAGAAGTTGTTAAGCCTACGTTCGTACACCCACAGAAGTTGTTAAGCCTTGTTAACCCACAGAAGTTGTTAAGCCTCCACAGACATCGAGGCCTACGGTGCGATTCTTTGTGATTTAGTGATGCGGCGGTGCAAAAATTCTTAAAAAAACCCATGGTTTTTGGAGATTTCGGCGTGCGCGCGCGAAGAAAAAACGAATGTGTCCCGCATGGTATTATTGACAGGGATGATGGCCCTGGCAGGTGCGCAACCGTTGTTGCAGAAGTTCGAAAAAGTTGCTCGCAAAAGCCCGTTTGACAGAAATGTTTAAAAAGTGTTGGGTTTCCTACGAATCCGCAAGAGCGCGCGGGATGAGATTTTGACATTTTTTTGTTGAAAAACCATTGGTTTGTTTGATGTTTTTATGTTAAAATCGCTCCGAACACTAAGCTTTTGGAAGGATTTCGTCTTGCGCGCGCGAATGTCCACTGTACCTTATTTTTTGCAAGGGATTCTTGAAATTTGATTATATTAGAACAAGAAATGTCATTTTATAGTGTTTTTTGCAAGGGAAAGCGGGGGGGAACAAAACAACCGGATCCGGACACATCGTTTTGCCTGAGACTTCCTCACGAAAATGATGAAAATGTAGCTGCGGCCTAGCGCGCAGGGGGGCCGTGCACCAGGGGTCCCAACAATAATTATTCTTTAGAATTAATTATATATGTTCAACAACAACAACAACAACAACAACAACTACTACAACAACAACAACAACAACAACAACAACAACAACAACGCACACAAACAAGCAACAGCACAACAAGCAACAACAACAACAACAACAACAACAACAACAACAACAACAACAACAACAACAATCATTTAAGCACTGGGGACACTCCGTTCTCACCAGTGCCAGGGTTTTCATAGGAGGCGGGCAATACCCCCACTTTGTGGGGGGGCCGGTTCAAGCTCTACCAAATTTCCAAACGACTCTTCGCCACCACCCACACCCAGCTTCCCGCCCTATGACGTTCGGACACTTCACTTCGTGGCATGCGGACGACCGTGGCTACTATTCAGGGCCCCGCGGCCGACGACGACGGCGTGCGCGCGCGAAGAAAAAACGAATGTGTCCCGCATGGTATTATTTGACAGGGATGATGGCCCTGGCAGGTGCGCAACCGTTGTCGCAGAAGTTCGAAAAAGTTGCTCGCAAAAGCCCGTTTGACAGAAATGTTTAAAAAGTGTTGGGTTTCCTACGAATCCGCAAGAGCGCGCGGGATGAGATTTTGACAATTTTTTGTTGAAAAACCATTGGTTTTTTTGATGTTTTTATGTTAAAATCGCTGCGAACACTAAGGTTTTGGAAGGATTTCGTCTTGCGCGCGCGAATGTCCACTTTACCTTATTTTTTGCAAGGGATTCTTGAAATTTGATTATATTAGAACAAGAAATGTCATTTTCTATTGTTTTTTGCAAGGGAAAGCGGATTACAACAAAACAACCGGATCCTGTACACACCCTCTTTTCTGAGGCTTCCTCACGAAAATGATGAAAATGTAGCTGCGGCCTAGGCGGCGCAGGGGGGGCGCGCACCAGGGGGCCCAACAATAATTATTCTTTAGAATAAATAATGTTCAACAACAACAACAACAACAACAACAACAACAACAACAACAACAACAGCAACAGCAACAGAAGCAGCAGCAACAACAACAACAATCACACAATCACAACGACGGCGACGACGACGACGACCATGTCGGCATGTGTGAGGGGCTTTTCCGTTCGAGTCGGGCTCTTCCGTTGGAGTCGTCGTCTCCGTCCTCCTCTGTTACATTCGCCTGGGCCCTCTTCCTCATACGCGCCGTCCAAAGCAAAATTGAACAACCTCGGAGTCGAATTAAAAGAAAACCTGTCCCTTGGATCCCTTCCCCGCGCTGGGGGAGGGTCCCGGGGGGGTCACGGGGGTTCCCGGGGGGGGATCCCGGGGGGTTACGGGGGGTTCGCCACCCAGATACCCAAACATCCGGCTGCTCAACTTTTTCCGATGCGTGGGCCCCAGAGGTCTGGACCACTTCCCGGTGTTTCGCCCTGAGTCGTTTTTTGACGCACACTCCCGAGACCCCGGAGGCCGAAATCGGCAAAAAATCAAACTTTTTTTGGAGCGTCGGATCTCTAGGTACGGTACGTTTCCCCCCGCGCCCAAGCCCCCGCTCCGGCCCCGACCCCGGACCCCGATCCCCGAGCCGGCACGGGCCCCGGGCCCGGACACATCCGCAGCCCGGGTCCTGGCCCCGGAGCCCCGGCCCCCGCTCTGGCCCTCTGCAAGCGGCTCCCAAGAGAGCCCCAAGAAAGGCTCCAGAATGTCAGCGTTGTCGTCGTCGTCGCCGCCGCCACCGCCGTCGTCGTTGCCGTCCCCCTTCAGGGTCGGCGGCAACGGCCGCTAGGCCTTCCCAATAATTTCGAGCACCCGGAAAAGTGTCGAGAGAGTGTCGAAACCTCCTCCTCCTCCTCCTCCTCCTCCTCCTCCTCCTCCTCCTCCTCCTCCTCCTCCTCCTCTTCCTCGTCCTCCTCCTCCTCCTCCTCCTCCTCCTCCTCCCTCTCTTCTTCTTCTTCTCTCCTCTCCTCCTCCTCCTCCTCCTCTCCTCCCCTCCTCCTCCTCCTCCTCCTCTCCTCCTCCTCCTCCTTCTCCTCCTCCTCCTCCTCCTCCTCCTCCTAGTCCTCCTTCGTTTTTTCCTCCTCCTCCTCCCTCCTCCTCCTCTCCTCCTCCTCCTCCTCCTCCTCCTCCTCCTCCTCCTCTCCTCCTCCTCCTCCTCTCCTCCTCCTCCTCCCTCCTCCTCCTCCTCCTCCTCCTCCTTCGTTTTTCCTCCTCTTCCTCCTCTCTTCCTCCTCCTCCTCCTCCTCCTCCTCCTCCTCCTCCTCCCTCCTCCTCGTCCCCCTCCCCTCGTCGTCCTCCTCCTCCTCCTCCTCCTCCTCCTCCTCTCCTCCTCCTCCTCCTCCTCCTCCCTCCTCCTCCTCCTCCTCCTACTCCTCCTTCGTATTTTCCTCCTCCTCCTCCTCCTCCTCCTCCTCCTCCTCCTCCTCCTCCTCCTGCCCAGGGGAGCTCCGGGAACAAGGGCCGCTTGCCAGTCGGGACCGCAGTGTTCGTCACGGTGTAGTCGTTGCCGGGGCCCCTCCCCACGGCGCGGGGCACTCGCGGGCACGAGACGCGGAGGCCACCAGTGGGACGGAGCTCGCGGGTGCGGGAGCTAGAGCTCGCTCGGCACTGCGTTGGGCTAGGCCGCACTGCTCGAACCCTCCTCCTCGACCTCGGTCTTCTCGTACTCCTCCGCCTCCTCCTCCTCCGCCTCCGCCTCCGCCTCTAACGCTCAAGACTTCCCCTTGTCAGCCAAGGGTGCAAGCCCCAGGATGAGCACCTCAATTGACGTGCACGGGAGATCAGCAGTAATCATTATCAAGACATGAGAACCGAACAGAACGGCAAGATAGAGAGAGAGAGAGGCAGAGAGGGAGAGAGCCAGAGAGAGAACTGTATAAAAAAAGGGAAGGAGCGAGATGTACGATAATATACACATTAGACACACATAGATGGAGACAAAGAGAGCGAGAGGGGGAGCGAAAGGGCGGGACTAAGGGAGGGGAGGCGGAGGGAACAGGAGAGGAGGTCGAAGATTCAGTACATCCCCGACCGTCCGGCATCGCACACCGTCATGACCGACCAGCGGGGACGAGGACGGCGGTGGCACGCGAAGCAGCGCAGCACCGGCACCGGGAGCAGGAAGAGCGGATGGCGGTGGAGACCCTGCACCACGTGGCCCCCCACCCCCTATTTCGCCCCCCGCTCGGGGGCGCGCAAGCACGGATTGGCGACCCGTGAATCTGGATCGGGGGAGGCGCCCTGGGGAGGATGGTGAGGGACGAGGAGGGGTGCAGGGAGGGAGCTCAGAGGCTTCGGAAGGAGGATGAGGAGGAGGAAGAGGAGGAAAAGGAGGAGGAGGAGGAGGAGGAGGAGGAGGAGGAGTCCCGAAATGCGGCCGCTGCGGCTTCGCTGGGCGGCGGAGGCCCCGCGGCTTCCTGGGAAAAACGGGGCCCGTCGCGCGCATCCACGCCCCAGTGGTCCACGTCCGCGCTCGCCCGGCCCACGCCGCCCTCCGACGGGCCGCTCCCCAGATGGTCAGGAGAGCCCAGAATCGAGTCGATGAGTCGGACCCCAAGTCAGATGGTCAGGAGAAGCCAAAATATCGGAACCCCGAGTCGAATCGAATCGGTATCGGAAGCCCTCGAAGTCGAATCGAATCGAATCGAAGGGGTCGGAATGAGTCCTGGATGGTGCCTCTCTCCACGCCCCCCCCCCCCCCGCCCGCCTCCCTGCCAGCGGTGCCTCCCTGGCGGTCCACTCGCCGCCCGTCTCGCTCGCCCCCGAGGGCGGGGACCGCGCACCTCTTGGCCGCTCGACCTCTGTTCGCTGTCGGCGCACGCCCCCGGACGCGCCCGACTCGTCAACCGGACCACCCCAGCCCAACCCGAGGAGGAGGAGGAGGAGGAGGAGGAGGAGGAGGAGGAGGAGAGGAGGAGGGAGGAGGGAGGAGGAGGAGGAGGAGAGGTAGGAGTTGTTGTTCTTTCTTCTGGGGCGGAGGAGGAGGAGGGAGGAGGAGGGGAGGAGAGGAGGAGGAGGAGAGGAGGAGGGAGGAGGGGGCGGAGGAGGAGCAGGGGGCGCAGGAGAGGGGGGGGGGGACCCGAACTTCGCCCGAGGTTCGGGTCGGGAGGGGTATGGGCCCCATATGTGGTTTGGTCCATGTTCCCCCCCCACCACACCGGAAACGGAAGGCAAACCGGGGCCTTCGGGTTGGGTCGGGGTGGTCTGGTGGGCGGTGAGCACCCGGGCTTGCCGCTCCCGGCCAGGGCCCGTGCCCTGGCTGCTGGGCCTGCTTGCCAACGCCACCACTACGAGTTGGAGCGGGGAAGGAGGCGGAGGACGACGAGGGGGAGGAGGACGAGGAGGAGGAGGAGGAGGAGGAGGAGGAGGAGGAGGAGGAGGGGGAGGAGGAGGGCGCTCCCCCTCCCCCTCCAACTTATGGTGGTGCCTGGACGCGCCAGGGCTGGCCGCTCCAGGGCCCCTCTCGGACGGCACCGACGGCGGCACCGGCGGTGCCTCCCCGCGGCACGAAGGCTCGACGCACACGCTCGACCCGTCCGTCGCGGCATGCCTCACTCTCGCCATCGCGTGGACGTCCATTCCCTGTGTTTTTGTTCGGTTTCGTGCGTGTTTTTTTCGCCAAATGATCAAGGATGCTCCTCGATGGTCCTGGCAGAAAGAAAAATGCACACGTCCGAGCGATGCCAAGTCACTGTGTGTGTGTGTGTCTCTCTCTCTCTCTCTCGTTTTCCGTCCGTCCACCCGCCCCTCTCTCTCTCTCTCGTTCCCCCATCTCTCTCTCTTCACATCCCCCTCTCTCTCTGTCTATCCCTCTCTCTCTCTCTCTTGCTGTATGCGCGTATGCGCGAATACGTTATATGATGTCTCTCGCACGATCATTGCGAAGACGAGCCCGCAACAATATCGTGCTCCTCGTTATTGACCTTGTGCGGCTCCTGCTCACACTACTCCTCCAACCTCTTCTGGCCCATCCCATGCACCCCAAACCCGCCCGAAAAAGACCGCGTCCCACAGTAGGCGTCCCTCTCCTGCGGATCCGGCTGAAAATGGGGAGCAAGCATGCTTCTCTGCATCGTCCCTCTCTCGACCAGGCCACGCTGAAAATATTGACCGCGGGCTCTATCTCTCTCATCTCTCTCTCTCTCTCACTATCTCTATTCCTCTCTCTCTCTCTCTCTATCTCTCTTTCTCGCTCTCTCTCTCTCTCTCTCTCTATCTCTCTCTCTCTCTGGCTATCCCTCTCTCTCTCTCTCTTTGTGTACTTCTCTTTCTCTCTCTCTCTCTCTCTCTCTTTTTCTCCCTCTCGCACTGTCATTCCGTGGAGCGTGAGGCACCAAAACGAAAGATCCACCCGCCCCCGATGCGGGCGCCATCAGGGTGCGATGAATGGTACTTCAGCAACGAAACTATCGTGGTTGCTGAATTTCAGTTTTGACAAGCACTTGACATGCACGTCTTCCTGCCAGCTCAGCCACCAGGCGTCAAAAGAACGTATTCGCTCGGCTTCTGGACCTAGGAATCTGGGCTTCCCGACAAACGGACACGGCACTGTTTGCCGCAATCCACCGAACCACATCTGCAGAACATGTGAGCACCCTGGGACACGAAGAAAATATGGACCTACTAATTTGGGCGGAGAACACATCCACACATTAAGCAATGGGCTTGTTTTCTGGGCGACGCCTTACTCTTCACAAATATGTTTCCCCTCCCCCCCCACCCTTCCCTCCGACCAGGGCCACAAGAATTGCATTACGTACATACATACATACATACATACATACATACATACATGCATGCATGCATACATACACACACTGACAGACAGACAGACAGACAGACAGACAGACAGACAGACAGACAGACAGACAGACAGACAGACAGACAGGCAGGCAGGCAGGCAGGCAGGCAGGCAGGCAGGCAGGCAGGCAGACAGGCAGGCAGACAGACGGACTGACTGACGAACTGACAGACATACAGACATACATACATACATACAGATCTGTGTATATGTATAGATACACGCCACCGTGCCTCAGGGACGAAGTGGAGAGCCCTCCGGTCCTCAAGGGTTCCCTATTCTCTGTTCTCTGTACTCGGGACTCTGAATATAGGTCCTGGGCTGGGGAACCACATGCTCAAATTTCCTAGGCGTTCCCGCGCGTTCCGGGACTGACCCGCATGACTTTCCCAGAGGCCAAGGGACCCCAAGACGGGCCAAGAGGACCCCAGAGAGCGCCCAAGAGGGTCCAAGAGGCCTCCAAGACAGCCCAAGAGCGCTCCAAGACGCCAAGGTGGCCCCAAGACGGCCCAAGAGGCCTCAAAGAAGTCCCAGAAGCGCTCCAAAAGGACCCTCAAGAGGGCAAAGAGGCAAAAATACGTGATTCTCCGCGTGTGTGTTCGATGTTTTTCGCGTTCTCGCGTTTCTGTGCTTCCGACGCTCCAAAATGGCCCCAGAGGCCCCCAAGACCGCCCCAAGACGACCCAAGAGGCCCCCAAGAGGGCCCCAAGACGCCCAAGATAGACCCAAAAACGGCCCAAGAGGCGCCCAAGATCGGCCAAGGGGCGCTCTTGGTCCCCAGAGGGGCCCAAGAGGGGGAACACGAACCGACAAGCCGAGCCTTCCGCCCCAAGAGGCCCCCAGGAGACCCCAAGAGGCCCCCAGGAGACCCCAAGGGGTCCCCTGGAGACCCAACGAGGCCCCCAAGAGGCCCCCAAGAGGCCCCAAGAGGCTCCCACAAACGGCCCCCAAGAGGCCTCAAAACTGCCTCCAAGCGCCCCAGAGAGGCCTCCCACGATATCAAAACGAACATCCAAGAGGCGTCTAACCCACAACCCAGGCACGGCGGCGGGATGGGCCGAAGGCCACTAGATCCGCCGCCCCCTGTCGAGTCATCGCGGGGGTGCCTGGCGTGCTGGACCCTATCGGTTTTGGTTTTGGTTTTGGTTCTTTTTCCAAAAGAACTCCCCCTGGGGCTTCGGCCCGTCCCGCCGGGGTCCCGGGAGAATCCCGAAAATCCATATGTCAATGTCTTTGTTGCCCCAAGTTGGCCCAAGATGGCCTCCAAGACGGCCATGTTGGCCCAAGATGGCCTCCAAGACGGCCTAAGAGAGTCCAAGACGGCCCAAGACGGCCCAAGAGGCCCCCCAGAGGCCTCCAAGACGGCCCAAGAGGCCTCCAAGAGGTCCTCCAATCGGCTCAGAGGCCCCCCAAACGGCTTCCGACGGCGTCAGACGAGCCAGGGGCCCACCAAGACGGTCGAAGATTGCACTAAGACGGCCCAAGACGGCCCAAGAGGCCTCCAAGAGGGCCTCCAGAGGCCTCCAAGACGCTCAAGATGGCCTCCAAGACGGCCCAAGAGCCCTCCAAGACGTCCTCCAAGAAGGCCCGAAAGGGTCAAAATGGCCTCCAGGCGGCCAACATGAACTTCAAGATGCCCTCGTGTTCCCCGAAGGCTTTCCAAACCGATTCGGGGAACACATGGTCCGATAGCTTGGCAGGTCTGGCCTCAACGTTCGGCCACATAGGCGCTTCCAAGAAGGCAGGGGGCGGTGGTGATTCGCCGTAGGCGTCTTCGATCCGCCGCCCCCTTTCGATTCATCGCAGGGGTGCCTGGCGTGCTGAATCCTCTCGGGGTTGGTTTTGGTTCTTCTCCAAAAGACTACTTATGTGTAGGGAGAGGTGTCTTAACCCCTCTCCCTACCCCCTCCCCGGGGGTCTGGACGGGGCGCCCCGCAGGCAGTTAGTGCCGCAGAAGGCATCAACGAGAAGGCAAAAAACACTGATTGTCCGAATGCATTGGGCCAACGTTGGCCCCTTGGGGAGGGGGGGGGGCGCCAATCCTCGGGGGTTGGGAGGGGCGCTAATTAAGGTCCCTTCTTTGATCGCTAGCCTCCCAGGTGGCCCCAAAAGGCACAGAAAGCCACCAAGAGAGAGACCCAAGTGGTCCCGCAGAGGCCCTTGAGGTCCAAGAAGCTCCCAAGAGGCCCCCAAGACGCCCCCAAGACGCCCCGAGAGGCCCGCAAGAGAACCTCAAGAGACACCCCTGAGAGGCCACCAAGAGACACCCAGGAGACGCGAGAGGCATCCAAGAGACCTCCAGTTCACTGAGGCCCCCCGAGGTATCCACATGATGCCACACTCACCCGACAAGGACAGTTCCCAAGGCATCGTTTCTGGATGAGCTGGTGGGGATATTTTTTTTGGTCGCGGCCGCAAGCGAAAGCGCAGGCGGCGAGCAGGGTGTCCGGGGCACGGAAGCAGACCTAATTAGCTACAGGGCGCGGGACAGGCCGGCCGGGCCAGCTCACTAGGCGGCGGCTGGGCTGACTGGCTGAGGACACCCAGGGAAGCGCGGGCAACGTGCAGACTGACAGAACGCCAGGAATTCTATGTACGCCCTGCGGCGTAGCACAGGCGAGGTGAACGATGAACGAGTCGCCAGCGGGGCGCCAGGTCCAGGGCCGTACCAGCGGCGTATGCAAGCTGAGTGGGCTAAGCTGCCGAGGTGACGTCGAAACCTGCCTAAAAGGCTGGTGGGGATACACGAAGCGTCAAGAGTTCCTGGGCTCAGCAAACCCGACACCCCATGATTTGCTAATATCGCGATCCCCAAAGCCCAAATGGGGGCCCACGGAGTCGCCATGAAAAAAAAACGTGGGCTCGGCAGAGCCAGAACACCCGGATGGTTGGCATGGCCAGCACCCGACCCCACATACAGAAGGGGCGTTGACCTAAGGAACCCTAAACAAGGAACGAGGCCCCTTTTTACCATAAGTTGAACTTCGATGTCCCATCGAAACCCTAAGCAAAACCAAAGGCGAACTGCAAAACAACTAAGGAACACCGAGCCCCTCCCCAACGAAAAGGGTTCCTTCCTCAGTGCCCCGACTGTAGGGCCACACGGGATCGCCATGTCAAGAACGTGTGAACTTGGTAAGGCCAGAAACCCAGGGTGTCTGGCACGGCGACTCCCCGAGCATGAGTTTGGAGGCCTAGAAATGGGCACCAACACCAACACAAGGGGCTGCCTCCACAGGGGGAAGACGATCCACGATTTCGGTGTTGGTGGCAATATTTCGGCCACCTTGGAAGCCAGAATATTACCACCATCGCCGAGATCGGGATCCTCCTCCCTCGGTGGATGCACACCGCCCGTATTGGTGTTGGTGTCAATCTCTAGGCCTGCGATGAGTGGGCCCCCACAGGGTCGCCATGTCAAAAATCCATGGGCTCGGCAGGGCCAGACGCCCAGGATGGCTTACACAGGGACCTCCCGAGCCCAAGTGGGGCCCGACGGGGTCGTCATGTCCCGAGTCCATGGGTTCGGCAGGGCCAAACTCCAGAATTTCTGGCATGGCCATCCAACGAGCCCACATAGGGCCACACGGGGTCGCCATGTCGACAACGCATGGGTTCGGCAAGGCCAGAAACCCAGGATGACTGGCATGGCGGCTCCCCGAGCAGGAGTGAACCCCACAGGGTCGCCATGTCGAACATACATGAGTTCGGCAGGGCCAGGTACCCCCAGGACTTTTTACACAGCGACCTCCCGAGCCAGCCAAAACTCATCGACATTTGGCCTGGCGACCCCGCGAGCCCACATGGGGCCCCACAGGGTCGCCATGTCAAGAGTTCGCCCAGCTAAAACTCATCAATGTTTGGCATGGCGATTCCCCGAGCCCACATGGGGTCTCATGAGGTCGCCGTGTCAAGATCTGTGGGCCCAGCCGACCCAGAATCCCAGGATGCTTGGCATGGCAATCCCCCGAATCTCAGTGGGGCAGCCCGAAACAATCAAAACGAAACGGTAAAATAACAAAAACCCTACGTGCCGCGACGCCCAAACAAAACGCATATAAAACAACGCCGCGCAAGAAAGAAGAAACGAAACGGAGACCACAACGATCGCTACGTATGACGCCATTGAAAGGCGCGCTGCGGTCTTGCGATACTGCAACAGAACGTCGTGTTCTTTCCTGTTTAGGATAAGCGTTTTCTGTACATGAGAGAACTGCATGGAAAGCA